TTAAAGATCTAATTCTTAGCACTCAGTCATCAGTCTTACGACATTCGATTGATGATACCATACAGATGACTGGACATGTTCAAAGTAAAATATACTTGCATGACTTGAAAATTCATATAATTTTTAATCTAATTTAGGTTCTACATCATTCAATTCAGCATCTTTTTACTATGAAAATGGGATCATCTTATATACTAATGGCTTACATCAAGAAAACAAAACACATATGTCTACATTGTGTCAAAAATATCACGTTGCTCTGACAAAAGGAATTATTCCTAAATTCTCGGCTGCCAATAATATGTGGCTGGGTGATGTTCCAGCTGAATTACAAGATTTGACGATTCCAGAAGAAAAATTAATTTCACTTTATCGTCACAACAGCTGTGTAATAAAACTTCATTCACCTTTTCATTCAACTACAACTGCTCAAACAGCATTAAAGGGTAACTGCATTACCTTTCTTCAGAATGTACCAGATATTGTCAATAGTTTACCACTTCAACTTGAAGATCTATGTGACACACTTAAAGTGATTTTCATTGGAGCACATTCCCCTGAACGTATTCAACTTAAAAAAGTACTGACAGTACGTAAGAAAAAAATTATTAAAGCTTTACAATGGCTGAAGAAATATAATGTTCTTTATCAACACATCGATATAAATCTGAAGAATATTGATGCATTACCTGAAGACAATGTACCAGAATGTATTATGTCAACGATGGAACAAAAATTAAGTGATGAAGAAGTTTCATCTGAAAGAGTTGGATATATTCCTGATCCATTATCAAATCCTACAGAATACACCACTTCAGACACTATTCCAATTAATAACAGGTGAGAGCAATAATTAAATAACTTCGTAGATAAATCTTTCTTCTTTTTAGTGGTGTTCTCGACGTGAATGGATCTACAGTATCTTCAAATGAAATTGCTAATTATATTTTACGCAAAATGAAAAATAATGAAATAACAGATCAGAAGGATCATGAAAATATTTATTTGATTCCACATTCTTCGAAGCCTGTTAATGAATACTTTAATCCAAAACTTCTAGTAGGCTTGTATCCTACGTTGTTCTGCTATGGCCGTGGATCACCTGAAGATCAAACCCGTCCAGTGAAGATACAGTTACGAGAACATATACGTTACTTATTATCTTACAACGATCGACGTTTTGAAAAAAGTCACAGCTTCATATTTGTAGTTTTCAATTTGTTACAACGACGTGATGCTTGCTTTCATGCCCAACTGATCGCAACGAAACCTTATTTTCGAGCAACTGCCGATGAAATTCAATCCTTGAAGAGTAAAGATATTGAAATCGCTCTTGATAATATTTCCAAGAAAGCATACCATTCAGAATCAAATAATACATTGAACAAACTATTGCGTCATATTAAAACCATCGGTGGTCGGGTTATGGGTTTGGCATATTCACGTACGGCCTTACGTACCCGTATTCATGCATTGATCTATAATCAAGGATTACCCAGCATTTTTCTAACTTTGAATCCAGCTGATATCCACAGTCCTGTAGCATTATATTTTGCGGGTGTCCCGTTCGATCTCGACAACATTCAAATGGATCAACTTATGGATACTTACAAAAGAGCGGAAATTATAGCTTCTCATCCTGTTGCCACCGCTAAATTTTTCCATTTATTGATCACCAATATCTTGGATACTATGATTGTTGGTGGTGTTCTCGGTCCAGTAAAGGCATACTTTGGTATTGTTGAAAGTCAAGGACGCGGTTCTCTTCATTTGCATCTTCTTATTTGGCTTGACCATGACATGAAACCAGCTGATATGAAAGAGAAAATTCAAAATGCTGATTTTCGTGAAAAATTGAAAGCATATTTAGAAGACATCATCAAAGAAGACTTAGATGAATTCAAAGAGAAATATGTCTTCGAAAATTCAGATGGTATGAAAAGTTTAACTTTTGCTTATATTTAAATATTATTTTTTGCTTATATCATAGTACCAAGATTATGGAACACGCCACCGCGATTATCCCGGGATAACATATATGCCGCTTTAAGTACTATGGATCTGACAGGTTTAAAACAAAATATATGTGAATCCAGTA